ACAAGACCACGGTATGGGGCTTCAACAGCATTTTATGTGGGTCAAGTCCTTACTGGCAGAGAACTGGACCATTAAGATGTTGATGTACACCCCAGTCGTCTCATGGCTCCCCATATTCAATGCCTCTCAGAACTCCCTAAATTCACTTTCACTAACTGGAAAAAAAGATGAGAGATTTTTCATCTAGGGACACAAATAAGCCTCAGAGCATAGCTCAAAAGTTGGGGTGAAGCCAGGAGAGTTTCCCCCTTTTCTGCCTCCCAGCTCTACTTCTTGTAGCTCCCAGCAGCCCTCCTTCCCTGTCAGTTCCAATTCAGGCCCTGGCCTCCCACCCTCAGGCTTTGCTGTGCTCTGCTGAATGTCTTCTTTGAGCCTATTACCTCATCAAAGTCTTGGGAAACATTTTCAATGGCTGCCTTACAGTCCAGTCTACAGTGCGAGTATCGCTGAGCTGTTCCCACCTCATAGGGCATCTCAGCTGCTTCTTGGGCAAATGATGCTAAGATAAAGCTGCCTCTGGGATAATGGAAACATCACCGGCCTTTCCAGAGACAGAGCACTCGGACTTCAGAAAGCACAGGCAGAAGACCCATGTACATCTTTTCTACCACCTTCAGCATTCAGCAGAGAAAAGGAGAAATGGTACCCTGCTGAGGCTGAGGCCAGGTGAGGCCAAGCCTGACTTCTCTTGCACAGAATTCAAAGCCTGGAGGCAGAAGTCAGCAGGTGGGGAGGTGGGTTAGCCTGGACATTGGTGACCACATATTCAAGCAGGTTTTCTAGTGTTGTAGGTCTCAACCAGGGGCAATTTTGCCCTCTTGGGGACCTTGGTCAGTGTCTGGAGTTTGAATGGTCACAGATGAGGGAGGAGTTGTTATTGGCATTTCATGAGTAGAGGCTAAGGACATTGCTAAATATCCTACAATACTGTTATGGTTTGTGTCTAGGTGTCCCCACAAAGCCTCACTGTAGTTATGGGGCAGCTTCTGGAGTTTGCCATTGAGTATTGTGGGTGTGGATGCTGCACCTGCCCTGAGGCAGGCAATTTGCATTACAGTGTAAGGAGGCAACAGAGGCTAAGATGCTGCCTGAGTTTCAGCTCTTCTCTTTGCTCTCTGCTCTTTGCCATTGCAATGAAAGGTTGCTCTCAGCCATGTACCTCTTTGCCTTGGAGCCAGCCTAGTATGGACCGAAACCTCCAGTAACTGTGAGCTAAATAAACCTTTCCTTCCTTCATTTTGAGTGTCCGGTTTTTTGTCTCAGCAACAAGAGAAGAATAACTGAGACAAATACAAATAAAAGAGAATTCTCCAACCCACAAAGCCAGCTGTCGCACGGCTGAAAGATGGGGCTGTAGCGTGATGTCAAAGGTGAGCTCTGCTTCTGTAGCATCCCTTCGGTCTCCTTGATCCTTCACCAGCTCTGCTGCTCATCTTGCTCCCGAGCATCCCGCCTGCAGCTGTTAGTGTCCTGCTAGGCACTCCAGCCTCTCCCTCCCATGCCACTTGCTGCTACCTGCTTCCCACTGGAAAAAGATTCTGAACTTTAAGGTAGAAATGCAAGGCCATCTGCCACATGTCCCCACCCCGTCATGCCACTGCATGCGGCACTACTCAGGCTACACGGGCTGCTTTCCTTCCACCTCGGTCCTGCCCTGTGCTTGTCCCTCTTGCGAACACTGCCCCCAAATGTTCCTGCAAGTTGTCATTCCTTCCCCTTCTAAGTCTCTCTCTCCTTCCAAACTTTTCTTACCCTGTTTAGGTGCCTTGCCTTGCTCTGCCCCACGTGAGTCATCCGAGTTCCTGTCTCAGCGCCTTCCTAGCCACAAACCCTGCATTCTGAGTGGGGCTGAGTTCCATCCAGAGCTGGGATCTGCTGCCCCCCAGCACACAAGTTTACCCATTGTAGATATCGGATGTGTTTTGCCAAATTCCACTAAATACGCTTTGTGGAGACCTGCTTTCAACTTCAAAGCTGGAAGTGCTGACTGTTCCTACAGCTGCAAAATCCTGCAGCTACAAACAATAGCACCGGAGGAAGCACACACCCTCCAGCCCCATCCGACAATACAGACTGGTCAGGATAAGGGGCTGGCCGTCAGCACAGATTCCAGCGCTGTGTGCTTGGAGGCACAGGCACTTCCAAGAACGCTGGGTGCCCCTTCCATGCACGTCTGGCCTGCACAACTCAGAGTTGCCTATACAGGGCCTGCCAGCAGGTAACTTGTCCTTGAAATGTACCATGAAGGGAGTTGGACAAGGTGCTAAAGTGTAAAGTGGCTTAAGATCCCAAGAGCCTGCGGGCATCTTTTGGCACATACTCCGCTGTGAAATTGCAGCATCTGGATTTGTGCCAGTAAATATGAAGAAAGGCTAAAAATAGAAGTTGAAGAGTTTTAAACCTTTAAATTCTTGTCCGTAAGCACAAGGCAGAACTTTCAGGATACTAGGGGACTGATTGCCTGAGGGGAAGCATCCCCAGAACACCTGGGTTTTTGCCCAAGAAACTGCTTTGAACTACCTTCCCCCAAAGAAGGATTAGAAGAGTAGCTGGTTCCTTCTTGGACATGGCCGGAAGAGGTGTAACATTAGTACACCTTTGCCCAGGGCAACCTGGCAAAGTTGACTGAAATCACAATGGCCCGGACTCTAACTCAGCATTTCCTCTAAGAGTTGTTTTTAAATACATCCACTTACACAAAATGACCCAACCATAGTCATTGCTTGCAAAGCAAAAGACTAGAGAGACACGACCTAAATGCTTAACAGTTGACGACTGGTTAAATAAATTATAGGACATCTGTGTGATGGGGAAAAGAAACCACCCTCTGCACTGGTGTGGAATGGCCTAAGGTGGATCACCTAGCGGAATGGGTTCCGTGCAGAATAGGATGTGGCTTGCTGCCATCTGTGGAGTTTGTGATGGAACACAGGCTGCAGTTGCTTGAATATCTCTGAAAGTGGACAGGAGAAGCCAGGATGCCATGCTGCTGCCAAGGATGGGGGCTGGGTAGGTGAGACTTGGGCATCTTGCTACTGTGAACCCAGTGCCCACTCAAAACTCAGCTGGCGCATTCAGGGCACACAGGCTGCCCACACCCTCTTCTCTGTTTCCTCCCATGTCTTCTGTCTCTTGCTTTTGTCACACAGAGACGCTGTGGTGTGGCTGATTCCCCCTCACACACCTCTGGAAGGAGCGGTGGTGTGGGAGCCAGGCCTGCGACACGGGTCACTGGGAGCCTGATGGTAAAGGCTCTCAGCCCTGCAAGTCTGCCTTGCTGCCTGTGGCAAACAGTACTCTGAACAGTTCTTCTTGCACACAGCCGGGAGGATTAAAGCGGACTCCCTATGGGAAAGCTTTGGCCAGACTCCTAGAGGTTGCTAACCAAGGGAGGCCTCCATGGGCCTGCTGTGGACTGGCAGAAAGAGTGCCTTTGATTCCAGCAGAGAGGTGTCTCTGGAGAGCTTCTGAGAGCTGCAGGTGTGAAGGATGCCTGAGAGGTGGCTTATTCCCTGGTGGACATAAGCAGGGGCCAGTAGCTGAGCAAGTATCCGCACTGCCTTCCCCACCCCCACATCTCTGTTCCCAGGAGCAAAGAAATTCACAAGCTAGACATCTACAGATCAATAAATTGCCTTCTGGATTGGCTGCAGTGTCCTATGAACCCCGACACCCAAAAGCATCCTTGCAAGTGGCCCCGGAAATACTGGTGATAGAGTAGAGCCACTTCAAAGGCTTGGACAGGAGCAGGAGGAATGCACCTGAGAAAGGCTTTGTTCTCCTCCACCCCTGGGAGAAATCTCTGTTGGTGGAGGGAGACAGTCTGAGATAGCTGAGGAGACAGGAAGCAGGAAGAAGGCAGAGTTCAGGGTGGGTGGGGAGAGAGGCAGGAAATACACACGTTTAGGTCACATCTGCCTCTGGGAAGCATACCCCCTGCACCCGTGAAGCTACAAGCAGGTTGTGGAGCTGGCTGAGGTCAACTTCTAGCTTTACCACTCAGGAACCTCAGGCAGACTGCTTAATCACCTTCCCTCAGTTTCCTCAACTGCAGAACATAGATCATCATAGTACCTATCTCCTAGAGGTCTTAGAAGGAATAAAGGAGTCAACACACACAAGTGCTTGGAGTAAAAGCCTGCATGGAATAAACCATCAGTAAGCGTTAGCTTCTGTGATCATCATTGTCACTGTCATTGTCCTCATCTTCATAACCACCAGCAAGGCCCTACACTCTGCTTGGATCTGGTCTTTTATGTAGCAAGTGTTGCCAAAGGCTCCACTAGGGTGCATGAACCCCAGCACATCTGCAGCAGTCCTGAGCCCCAGCCTAACACTATCTCAGGCCATTTGTAAAGCCTCAGCCACTACCCAGCTGGAGACAGCTGGACCCTAGCCTAAGACCTTAGAGATCTCTGCAGACAGCCTGCAGGGGCTCACCGGCCTTGATTTACACTCCTCTAGCCCTGCCTCCAATGAGCCCTATCTGTCCTTGACCAACTCCCAGTGAGAACAGGCATAGGACAGTGGCCTCTGGTGCCCAGCCTAGCCCTTGCAGTCACTCTACTTCTCAGCCTGTGCTGAACCAAAGGAGCAGGTGCATCCATGGCCCCTGCAATCAGCTTCACAGCCCAACGCTGTCAGCACAAATAACGGAAAATCCATCAGCTGTCCCCAAGTCCCAAGCCAGCATCTTCTTGCATCCAAACCAAGTCAATTTAACATCTGACACTGGTGCCAAGAGCTCACATCCAGAAAGGCGCATTCCTTTCAGCTTTACAACTTTCCCTGACAATTCCCTACTCAGCCTCCAATCCCTGACCATAGCTACGAGCTAAGTGCCAGCACTCCCGTGACGTCAGATGCATGGCCTGCCTCTCTCCCGCGCTTTGCTCCTCAGCTCCTATGCAGACCATCAAGGTGGATACCACCCCTTCTTTGGAAGCCACCTCACACACACTGGATCATTAAAAGGTTGAGAAAATCATAACGGATCTTACTTTCTGGGAACAAAATCCTGAGCACATCTCCACAGTCATGTTGGCTTGGATCAGGGAGGTGGGGAAGGCATGTGTGACATTCTCTGGCAGTTGGAAGCACCCACGGTAGGTGGCAGTCCGCCCTGTGGGGAAGGAAATGGGTTTCTGGTGAGACATGGCATTCATGGTTATTGGTACCTATTACAAGGAAAAAGGCTTGCTTTGGTTCCTGAGATCCATGTAAATAGTCAAGAGGGCAGATCTTAAATCAGAGAGGAAAAGTTGTGCCTGGTGAGCATCCACATAAGCCAAGCTCCTGAGAGAAAGGTGCTGGGACCTTGTTTGTCCAGGATCATTGACAATGGACCACTTCACTGGGATGACTGAGCTCAGGTTTTGATTCTCCTGCCAGTTCTCTGGAGATGGTGCCCTCCTGTCTTTCCCCTCTCCTTCCTTTCCTTCATTCAGCAGATTTGCCGTGTACATTTATGAGGTGCCAGATTCTACAATGAGTGACCTGTAGACAGCTGTATATCCTCTGATGACATGCACTAAAAGAAAAGCAGACTTAAGCTTCTGAAATCCTGCCTGTTGGCTTTGTCACTGGAGGCAGACCCCTGCTTTGAGTCTTGGCAAGGCTGGCCTTACACTGCTCTTGAACTCCTACCTGAATTCTAGGGATACTCTTCAAACCTATGGCATAAAGAAAGATTCCTGCCAACTTATTCTCTAGACTGTCAGATGGACAAGCTCAGCTCTCTCACTGGCTCCTTTGATGCTGAACCAAACTTTTGGAATATTCTGGCACCAACCACTTCCAGACTCAGCAGTTTCTCTAGGTAATGTGCTGATCACATACTCATTTGCACAGATCTTCCCAAGCTTGGTGTGTTCCCCCAGTTCTTTCTGCCTCCCACTCCTCCTGACCAGCAACAAAAACCCTCTCACCAGCCTTAGCCATCCAGCAGGGAGAGGGTGCTTTCCATGCTATAATGCCTAAACAATGCCAAACTCTGCAAGCCCATCCAGATCAACCACAGGACCAATGGTCTCAAAGACAGAGCACAGACCTTGCAAGACAGACACAGAGTAGCTGTGTGGTACAGAGAAACAAGCTGTGATTAGCACACTCAGGGTGTGGGTTGCGGTCCAGCCACCACCTGTGCTTAGCTTGCAGCTCTGGTGTCATGGACTTGAAAACTCTACTTCCTTACCTCCGCAGTGCCAAGGGTCAAGCTGTGAGCAGCATTGAGCATTCACAGGCCATCTTCTGGGAGATAGCCCCAGATTGTGGTGTGAAGGACGAGAGTGATGGTGGGCACCCAGCACGTAAGACTTTGTGGGCCTGTGGTACAACTGGAGCCAAAGGACAAACATGTAGAGGGGGGTGGGGTACACAGCCAGCCACTGGGTTGGGCAGGCAGTGAGGTGAGAGACAGATCCAGAGACAGTGAGCAGGACAGGACTGACACAGGGAGGGCAGACTGATCTGCATCCTAGAAGTCTAGGTCACAGGGAGGGACAGCAAGGACAGCAAGGGCTCTAGAATTCTGTTCCTGGGGGAAGGGTGTACCTGGTCATCCTTCATTCTCTGGGGTGAGCTGACCTGGATGCACAGTGAGTGCCCATAAATGCTGAACTAGGAAGACAGGAGAGGGCTCTGCATGGGCTGTAACAGGTGAGCCACGTGTGAAGAGGTCACATGGGCTGCCTTCAGATGACACCGTATGTCACTTTGTGCAGCCTGTTCTACAGCCTTTTCCCTCACTCCTAGGATAAGAGCCTGAGGGCCACCCATGGCAGAACTGCAATTGTCAAGGGGAAGGTATTAATGAGCTATCTAGACCAACCCAATTCCAACTATGAGTCTTGCTCACAGGCCTTGTTCCTTTGTAATACATCTTGATAGCCAGAAGCTGCAATGTACAGTCAGGGGTCACCTGGTCACCTCTGACAGAGATCCCATCAGCTGAGCCTCTTCAGAAAGGAGTAGGAAAACAAAGTTCAGCCATACAAGCCTATTCTAAGGGAGTCATTAATATTTTCAGCAGTAGTCATGACCAGAAGGTCTAGTGGACTCAAAGCTTGCCACTGGCCTAAATAACTGAACCATCTGTCCCTTGGCCAGTGGACCATGGAGGCAAAACAAGTGTCACTGAGAGTCAGTGGCTGAGCAGCCAGGAAGGTTGGTAGACACCCAGAATTTACATATGGACCTGCTTCTGCAGGGAGTCAGAGATGAGAAGATGGGCTAATGTTTGAACCCAAAGAAATGAAAGATCCAAGAAGCTCTCATCGAACAGCGTAGTCCCCAGGATAAACCTTGTGCCAGGTCAGGGATTGGTGCAGAGCAGGTTGAGTCCTACCCACTTGTGTCCCGCAAGTCCTACATGTATGCCTGTACCACTTGTATGGCACATCAGCCACACAGCACATCCTGCTATAAACAGGACCTGCTATGTCCCTTCTCCTCAGCCACTTCTTCCCCTACCTCCCCTGGTATAATTGTAGCTGCAGATAGAATGCAGACAGAACCTGTTACCTAAAGTACAGGATCAGCTCCTACACATGGTTAAAGTACAGGACTCAACCCAGGAGCAGCTTGAGTCAGGAGCCAAGTGCGTAAACTAGAGTATATTACCAGTGTCTTTACACTATGCTCATTGCCCCTCCTGAGCCTCCTGACTCCCACACACTTCCTGTCTGAGTGCAACAAGCATCTGAGCACTCTCACATGTCAGCCAAACTGCTGTCTGCACTCTGACCCTATACAGCGGCAAGGGCTGGATCAGGGCTGGGCTTCTGCATTGTTTGGAAAACATGTTTGTTACTATAGCAGCCCACCCAGAAACACCTCTGTGGGCTCAGCTTTGATCTGACACCTCGTTCCCTGGGCTCTGCTCTGTAGTTCTGCTACTAGAACCAAAGCCAGAGGCAGTCATGCCTGTGAGACAAAGTGCCTGGGTGCTGAACTGTGCCGCCACCATCTGTGGTCCCACCCTTGTCAGAAGAAGGGGAAGTCTCCACCTGTGCTAGGCAAGGAGTGTTGCTTTTTCCCTCCCTTATTCTTTCCATCATTGGATCTCTCTCTCTCTCTCTCTCTCTCTCTCTCTCTCTCTCTCTCTCTCTCTCTCTCTCTCTCTCTCTCTCTCTCTCTCTCTCTCTCTCTCTCTCTCTCTCTCGCAGAACCGGGGATTGAACTGAAGCCGTTGTGCTTGCCGGGGAAGTGCTTATTCCATTAAGCCATCTCCCCACCTAATGGAGGACCTCTCTCTCTTTTTTTTAATATAATCATGATTTTTTTTTGGAACTGGGGATTGAACTCATACCCTTGCGCTTGCCAGGGAAGCGCTTATTCCACTGAGCCATCTCCCCAGCATTCCACCGAGCCATCTCCCCAGCACTGAGCCATCTCCCCAGTCCATCATTGGAAAGATGGCCTCCAGAGCATGAGAATGTGTACAACCCATTATTTCACACAGGTGTCTTTTGTAATTAGATTAAGTAGATTTGGGGCCCATCGCCTTATAATAAGGGCCATCTTGAGCTTCAGATTCATCTACTTGGGCCCTTTCAATGTCCTGTACTTAGCAGCATTCTTACTTGAAGATCTTGTATAGCTGCTTATTTTTCCTCATGGTTGGTTATTGGCTCTTACGTTCTGCAGTGGTGAACTGTAAGTTCACCTTCAGTGAGAATTTCCTATGAGAACCCTGAACACCTGGGTCAGTGGGACAGCTCTCAAAGAGAGATGTTGACTCGCCTCTGCCAGAGAGCTCCAGACAGCCCAGAACCAACTTTTATGCTGAACCCCAAAACTCATACAAACGTAGCACTATAGTTACAAATTTGTACTATCTTTTTTCCACCTGCAGCTCAAATTGAATTAGTTAAGCTTTCATTCTATCTCCCTGAACAGATACATGGTTTATGATTACTATGGCATATATATATATATATATATATTTCAGTATGATTGAGTTCTGTTGAAACCTTAGGCAGAGGTTTCTACCCTGTTCTCACTGGATGACAGGCCCAAGCCTTCATCATTGCCTTGCTTAGACATTACAACCCATGCCGTGTGGCTACCTGAACCGCCAACTTCACTCTACTGACATCCAGGGCACAGCACCACTTCTTCCTCTTCCCATTGTGGTCTTCAGCTTCCTTTTCACTTCTGGGCCAAGGACTGCCTTACCCTCCTGCTAGTTAAGCGAGGGAGGGGAAAGAAAGAGGACATACGTGTGCCAATTCCCCACAACGAATAGAATCATTATGCACTGCAAGCATGTACTAATGCAAATTTTTTTAAAAAGTGGCAAAGATGTATCTCAGTGCAAAGGCCCTAGGTTCACTTCCAGGCTGGCCACAAAAGTAAGAATTCAGTAGAGAAGATGCAATGATTTAAAACTATTTTCAACATATAGTGTGTTTATCAGGACCTAAGACTATCATATGAAAAGTTGCATCTATACAATTTTTATTTGCAAATACAAGTAAATACAGTTTTAAAATTAACAGAAATGATTCTGGTTACCTCTTGCTCAGTTTTTTTAGGTGTTTTATAGTGAGGAAGCTTTCAGATTCTCAGGTCCACCTACTGCTGAAAATCTAGGTTGTTCCCAATGACACTTTACAAAATAAACTAAACAATAGAGAAAGGAAATGAGCTGTCTGAGGCATACATAGGCCTCCTACCAAGTTTCTCCTGCAAGGGACAAGCAAAGATGTGCTTGGGTTATAAGCTGAAACAATTGGGATTTTGATTGACCCTAAACCCAGGAGCTGGTCCTGTGAAGGTACAAGGAAAAGAGGGCCCATGCCACTGGTTCTGCCCCATGCATGGACCTGAGGCTGCGGGCAGGGGCAGCTGGAGCATGTGGGACAGGCAGCGCTCCAGAGAGGTCAGCCACTCACGCTTGCTGGAGCCCGGCTGCGGCACATCCACCCGGTACACGGAGAGCCGGCCCACAGCCCCGCACACAGCGCCCTTCTCGCCTTTGCACTCGTGGTTGCATTCGTTCAGCCCGACACGTGCAGCAGGCAGCCGGTTCCCACAGTAGCACTCTGCCCCAGCCTCCAAGCCAGCATAAATGTAGGACCTGCAGGAGACCAAGCCGGGTGAGTCAGGACCTGAGCCCTGGGTGTGGGCAGAGGACCTAATTGCAGGAAGGTACGGGTCAGGCCATGCAGCCAGGCCTGGGGAGATCTGGTCTGGACTTGAACCTGAGGTTAAGTCTCGGTGAACATGCAGGGTCATAGCCATCAGCACTGGCCTAAGGGATCAGTTTTCATCCTGAATTAAAAGGCTATCTAAGTGCAGGAGCCAGTTTTTCTTTTGTCATGCACATTTTGGCCACACTGGTCTATCTTGTGAGCTCAGAGCTTTGATGCCATCCGTGTTACAGGTTTTGATGGGACGAAATCAGAGGTGTGCTGGGAAACTGACAGGGGTTGGGAGGGTCCCATAGCAATCAGCGCCTGCCAACTGTGTGGTGGAAACACTCGCCCCACAGCCACGGGTTCACGGCAGCTTTCAAAACAAAAGTTGGTCCCAGGCCCAACACCACTAGTTTGACACATCAGCCACATAGCACATCGTGCTATAAACAGGACCTGCTGCACGTCACTTCTCCTCGGCCACTCGTTCCCATTTCCCCTGATGCAATTATAGCTGCAGATAGAGAATGGAGCTGTAACCTGTTACCTAAAGCACAGGACTGTACTGAGAGAAAGCAATCACCCTTTCAAAACCTGATTCCCAGTCGATCCTAGTGTAAAAAGCCCAGCCTGAGAACCCAGATAGTGAGAAGTATCTGGTGGCTGCATGGCTACTTGCTAGCTGTGAGATCCTGATGTTACTTCCTCCATCTCAGTGTCAGTTTCCTTAACTGCTAGGAGACTAGAATGAGACTGTTTTCTTCCTTGTTCCAGCTTTATTTAGGCTATAAAGCATCTAAGTAGGGACCTTATCCTTTATTTCTCTAGTCTCAGTTTTGTCATCAATAAAATGGGTATAATTAATTTCTACTAGGGGCTGTGAGGCTTTATGTGACATAAAATGTGTTAAGGACTCTAGGGTGCTAAAGCAGATGAAGAGCAGCCTGCTCCCGCTGCTCCACCCAGATGGGTGATATGTGCTCATGGTGAATTGCGACTGGCTGTGTGTTAAGGCCCATTTCCTGGCACCTGACAAGTGTCTGGTAACTCCTGGGTGTGCCAGCAGTATCAGAAAAGGCAAATCTTATCATGAATGCACGATAGGAACACTCATCCTGCCAGAGGTGGAAAGGGCCTTGGAAATATCTACGTTCCAGGTCTTTATTTCATTTTACACAAAGAGAACACTGAGGCTTGGGGAAGGAAAAGCATTCATCAAAGTCAAGCAGGAAGTGCTTGGAACGACTGGGTTAGAAGTCAGGTCTCTCGACACTGAGGTCTCTTGCCATCTGCCAATGAGCTTCTTCTGGCCAAATGAGAGCAAACCCACTGCGGTCTCATCACGCTAGGACCGCTGGGACCAAGTCCTGCCCCGTTCCCAGGGCAGCCAACAGCGGAGGGCCCAGCACTTACCGCTCTGCGCACGCATCCTGGCAATGGGCAACCGTCATCTTCCTCAGGTCGTAGAACACCGCCCCCTTCAGAGTCCTCTCCTGACCTTCATCACGGAAGCATCCCATGTAGGTTCCTGCAAGCAGGCAAGCGGTGATCAGAGGCCTGAGAGAGGCTTCAGACTTAGGGAAAGCGAGGGGTCATCCAGCCCTCCAGGCTGTAGTCCGACCTCCCCTCCGCGCAGGAGCCAAGTAGGCCCCTGGAGTTCTTGTTTATTTCCTGCCCTTTTCTCAGTTAATGGCCCACTGTCCTCCACGCAGTCCTGTCAGGAGCCCTGGGTAGACTGGTCACTGCTTTCCTCTACTGCTCCCCAAGTGCCTGTATCTACATTTGGAGTTTTAAATTCATTATTATTCTTTAGATATACACATTACAGGGTATAGTTTAATTATTCAATATATGTATACAGTATACAATGATTAAATTAATATTTGATTTCCTTAAATATTTAAGAAAATCAGTTTTATTTACCTGTGATAGTTGAAGGGTTTAATGGCCTCCCATAGCCCTCACCACCTCCTTCCCATCCCTGCTCCCAGGCTCGGAGGGGCCCCTGTGCCTCTTCAAATGTCCCAAGAGAAAGTTCTCCATGGGGGTCACTGGGAAGACTGTGAGTCCGTAGTCAGGGAAAAGCTGATAATAGCTGACATAAAGATCTTTCAAAAGGGAGGAGCTATGTTTATAAAGACATTTGATGTCTGCTGTTGGTGTGTGTAAGTGGAATCTATTAGAGTGGAAGATGGGGCCCTGCATGGGAATCAATGGGACCAAGGGGTCACAGAGCCCTCTACAGTCCCCTTGGCACATCTCTGTCCCTCACTAGTGACACTGGGGATGACATGAGGCAGTGGGGGACACTGACCTAACTAGGCAGGGGCCAGTGAAAGATCAGCCCTGCCCTGTCCTCCAAGGGAAGGAAATGCCTTGAGGAGATGTACAGAACACTCAGAGAATGGGATTACAATGTAAACACAGCATTAGGCATGGAAATGTCACATGCACGCCAGTGTTTTGAAGGAATGGCACTTTGGGAATTTGCAAACACGCCACCACATGGTCCCCAAGCTGTGAAGGCATACCCACAATAGCTGTGCCGGGATCTGGATTGGGCACCTGTGATAAAGCTGTCACATATCTCCCCAAGAACTTCTGAATTCAGCTACTGGTGCCTCCACAATGTCACCTGTGGAATGTGCACGCCGCCAGAGGAATTAGGCTGTCATTGGAAGGTAGGTCAGAGGCTTCCAGGCAGCTGTCACTCCCACAGGACATTTTGGTGAGGAGGAAAGGCCTGACGGCCAACATTTCCCAATTCTTCAAGGACAGGGAAATGTCACCTCTATTCCTGCCAAGAATGAGGTCTGGCACCACGTGCTGAGGTCATGGAGGAGGGTCCACTGTCCTTTACCTCTTGGGGCCCACGGTAGGCAGGCAGTGGTTTTCATGAGTGTGAGCACTGCTACACTGCCACACCTCTGACCTTGCTGTCACTTCAGCTGTCTGTGCCTCAGTTTCCTCCATAGAAGGTGATGTGCATACCTAAACCTCCTGAGGCAGGCTTACTTCTCCTGCCCCGCCTTTGGACCCATCCTTGTTTCTCCTCTAGATTCACTCTGGGCTTCCTATCTATTTTTTATTTTATTTTTATTTTTTTATTTTAGGGAAGGGTCTACAGGGTGTTTAGGATCTCACTACTAGATCAGACTCATTGTGGTCTGCCTATTTACAGCCTCCCAAGAGCTGGGATTACAGGTGCACACCACCAACACCCAGTCCCTGCGCCTGCTTACAGGTGCTTTAATCTGCTGAGCTATTTGGCTGGCCCTTCCTACCCGTCCTGAAGGCTGAGACCCTGACTTCAACCAATCTAGTCTCTCTTTGCTCTTGATTTTTTTCATTAAATTAAAAAAAAAATATTTGGTACAGGGTCTCGCTGTGCAGCTCAGACTTGTAGTGGTCCTGCTGTCTCTGCCTCCACAGTGCTGGGACTACAGGTGTGTGCCAGCACGCCTGACTTCAGGGTTGGCATGGTATATGGTACTCTGGATCAAATTTGGGTCCTTGTGCTTGCCAGGCAGGCACTTAGATGGCTGAGTTATCTCCCCAGACCCTGCTCTGGATCTTTGTATGTTTTGTCTGAATAACTCATCCATCAGCCACTTCCTTGCCATTGACTGTTGCTGTTAACAATCTTCTCAAGCCATGTGTCTTGTCTCTGCAACATGACTGGAGCTTCTTCGAGGGCAGGGGTCATGTGCACATTTACCCTAGCTGGTGACCCTTCAGTGACTCATCAGGGTTAGGCACAATGTCCCTGTCGGCGGCTAACTGAACAGTGGGCTACAGCTCCTGAGAACCACACTGAGGTGTCCTGTGGGTGCAAGAGTGGGTGCAGAGAAGCAAACTCAGGGAGGGGTTGGACTTGCCCACTCTACTGAGTGCAGTTCTCAGGGATTTAGTGTAAGAAAGGCATAGCCAAGGGGAATGACAATAGCTTCAGGATCCAAAGAACCTGAAGATCCTCAGATCAGAGGATGCCAGGGCTGAGGAATGAGTCGACATCTACCTGCTTTTGTATCTATCAAAGGTCTGGCCTTTCCCAAGTTAGGAACCTCCTGGGGTGACCTTCCTGGGGGGATGCTCCTCAGCATCTATGGCCATACCCAGCATACCAACTGAGCCTACCAACCACAGCACCTGCTACCTCCTTACCCGGGACTGCCTTCCCAACCCTGGCTCCTGTAAGCCTCTCTCTCCTGTAAGCTTCAGTCCTGTACCATACGCAGTATGTATCACTACAGAAATCTTATCCAGGCAGTCAGCATGCATTTTTCTCCTCTGTTTTCTTAGTAAAAGAAAACCACTATATGAGAAATTTCTGATGTGTTGCTCAGTAAAAAAAAAAGGTCATTACTGTTTTCAATTAAACACCCAAAACCCTTATCACTGTAGTTGGGATATTTAACCACAAGGATCTAAACATGCTAGGGCTCAAAACTTTCCAAGGCTGAAGCAGCCACAGACATATTTCTGGGAAACTGGATGGAAACAGCCTTCGGGAAAAGACTGAATTGGGTTGAAATTGTAGCTCTATCACTAGCTACCTATGTAACCTGGGATGTGCAACTTACCCTCTTTGAGTCTCAGTCTCCTTATCTGTGAAATGGGAACCTGGTGCCAGGGCCATGGGGTGGTCGTGAGGATTCCCTAAGATAACCCATATCAAGTGTCTGAAGCTGGGCGTGGTATAGGAAATGCTCAGTAGCAACCCTTTGTATTACTCATAGTTCATTATTAATAGTGAAAGCTTCCAGTGGCTTTTACTTCCCTGAAACAAATTCTTCACCATTAAAATAGTGAGAACTCCACTTACACCAGAAGGCTGTGTACATCTCTAGTAAACCACTATTATTATTCTGATCCAACATTCTACCCAGAGACCTAGTGTGACAAGGAATCGGCAAACATTAGTTGAATAATTAGCACATTAATAATAAAGAGAAAAAGTGGTTTCCAGCAGATAGGCTTGATTCTTGTGAACACAAAGGGTGGCCAGAAGTTACTGACTGGCCAGTTATGGGCCTGACCAGGGTGGAGAGGAAGGCCCTGCCCGGCCCCTTCTGCGTAGCCAGGGCCTGAGACTCAGATGGTCCCTCTGGTTTGTAAGTAGCAGGTCATCTCTTTTACCCTCAAACATAAAAAACCGTTTTCCTAACTTCCTGACAGAGGCAAGAATATACAGAGAAGAAAGAACTTTCGAGGGATACGCCGGGACACATCCCCGGGTGGATTTATTACTTTCGGCTGAAATGGAGGCGATGTATTATTGTCTGTGACTCCACATCTGTTCATTTGCACATCAAAATGGACAAGCCGTGAGGCTATTAACGATGGCTTTGGAGATATTGGAATGTCTTTGGAAATTACTATCAATAAAAAACAAACTGGCTATGGAGAAGTTACTATTTTTCCCTTAGTAAACTTACTGACATTTTATTCCATTATGGATGTTGTCCAAGGTATAATGAAATGCCCTGTGATTGATGGAGCCTCCTGCAGCTTCCTCGGCTTGCAAGATCCCCTTTCAGGAGTGTGGCGGGCTGCCCAGGCCGCAAAGACACTCTGGCTTTGTCTGCAGCCCCAGCAGCTTCATGGAGGGCTGCATTCTGGGCCACTCTCCACCACTGAATCCTGTCTGCCTATACGGGACCCCTAGGCCCTAGAGCCCCTGGAGGGCTACTGGACCAACGCCCTGCCTTCCCCTCCTTCCCGTGAAGACCCCCAGCCATGTCACAACAGGGCCTTCCCCAGACAGGCTTTTTTATATTCTGCAGGGAGAGCAGATTCCTCCCCTAAGTCCCAGGGTATATTCAAAATATTTAACAACCCATGGAGATCAGGGACTACTCGGAAATGGGAAATGTTGCCACTCAGCACTGACCCTGGGTGCCCTTCCTCTGTCAAGGTACAGAAGTCACCCCAGAGGCTAACTGCAGGAACTATCAACAGGTGTGGAAGTGGTCCTAGCTGCTTGAGAAGACTGCTGTTGGATAGCAGATGAGTATCTGTCCTACCTACATCTAACCACAGTCTCTCCAGCTTTTACCAGAACCCCTTCTTTCACCACGTTAAGTCGCTGGAGGTAACCACCACTTTACACTATCACACTTAATCCTCAGAATAACCAGAAGGTGTGCATCTCCATCTGTGTTTTAGAGCACCCTGGAGAAATCAAGTGAGATGCCCAAGGTTACCAGTAAAGCTGTGGCTGAGCCGGGGTCCAACGCCTGATCTGTCTAAGCTCAAAGCAGGAACTCTGGATGACTGGCCCATACAGCTCAGCCTGGAACCTGGTAGAATTCCAGAAAAAGCCCAGGGCACTTTACATCCCAGGTCCTACAGAGCAGTTTGTCAAGGCCATCAGCCTGCAGGGCCTCCTTCTCTAGTTGCCGCAGAACCAGACAACGGGATCCATGAACCTGGGCAGGGATCCTGGGTCCAGAGACACCACCGAGCACCTACCTCGGCTGCGGATGGCTTGCCTGGGGGCCTCAGGACCAAGTGTGGGTGTCACATGTGGATCGTTCACAAAGTGGTGGAACCAGCGGCGCCGCACTGAGCTGCGGTTTCTCCGGGGCCAGCGGAGTCCAGGTGGGAGCCGGGCAAGAGGGCTCTGCAACACGTCCACATTAAGCAGCAGGTCTGAACTGACCCGGGAGTCCTGGAGGCCTCTGCTGTCCAGCAGGCCCACGCCCAGTGCCACAGTGGCCACTGGTAAGGCCTGCAGGGTGCTAGGTGCCCGGGGGCCCTGGGGGAGGGCCATTCGGGCCCGCTGCAGTAGCAGCAAAGTGCCGGTCATCAAATAGGCAGCCGTGAGGAAGAGCAGCAGGAACTGTGTTCTGCGGAGAAACTTCTGGAGTCGGAAGAAAGGTTTGGCCATGCCCCCGGGCAGGAGGGCTCCCGGCTGGAGCCCGGGGACGGCTCCTAGCACCCGGGAAGGAGGGAGGCCTGGGCCTCCGGGTGTGTCATCCTCGCATCCTGGCTCCTGGCTCCTGTCTGAGCTCCCCTAGGCTACTGGTACTGCAGCAGGTCCTGTAGACATTCCTAGGGCACCATGTCTTCTCATGCAGCCATGAGGCCCTGCAACTGCAGCATCTGCCCAGGAGCCACCAGCTTCCCCATCACTGTCGTCTACTGATTCTCATCTTCTGGCATGGAAACCTAGAAAAATGGAGAAAAAATACTTAGATGTCATTGCAGGTCTGCCTCCCTCCACAGGTCCATGGCTGAATTATCAAAGGGGCTAGCTGTGTTGCAAGAGCCCTGGGCACAGGACTTGGTTCAGACCCCAGCTCTGCCACTGGCCAGCTTTGTGACAAATTGCTTTACCCTTCTGAGTCTCAGCTTCATCATCTATACAATGAAGTTAATGCTCTGCTCTTGAGTTGCACTGAAAATCCTGTGATAATAGCAACAGCAACAAGCCAAAGAAAAAGGGCAGCTGCTTACCAAGTCCTTTACTGAGTCCTAGGCACTCAGCGAAACACATTACACATTATTTTATTTAACCAATCCAATGCAGTGGACACTGTAATTGCCCAATTTGTAGATGTGGAAATTAGCAAACTGGAGGCAAAGTGATTTTACCAGTCACACAGTTGGGAAACATAAGGGCCAAGGTGTTGAACACTCTCTATTCAGATTTCATCCTCTTGAAAAAGCCAGTCTGTCATGAGACACCTGATATATATATATATATATATATAGATATATATATATATATATACTTAGGGTAGGCAGTATATGCAGCAGGTGCTGGATACATGCATGCAATAAGCTGATTCCAAGGTGTGCATTGGGACTGTGAGATGTGCACTGGAAGGAGATTTTGTGGAGGGTGGTAGCTGGCTCTCACAAAATAGGGACCCAAGGGAGGGAGTCGGTTTTAGGACCTTCTAGCCAATGCCAAAGGATCAGGATAGCGCTGAGGCTGGACACTTGGGGTGGAGAAGGCAGAAGGCTTTCTAGCGGCACTCTCACCCTCAGGCACTTGCTCCTCAGGAAGCAGCACTCCAGGCCAGCTCTGGTTCCCACTGGCGGAGCCTCTGAAGTGTGCTGTTAGGGTTGGCAGAGGGCTCTGCAGCTGCCGTGAGCCGGGCTGCCGTGTGAGGAAGGCCCTCGACACAAAGAGCAGGCTTGTCCTAGGAGAAAGGGCCCCAGAAGCATGACTAAGCCACTGCCCGTAACTAACGTGGCCTGGGACCTATGCCAGGTCTACGCAGCCGTTCAATGGCTGCTCTGTGTGCCACTGGGGACAGACGGACAGTGGGAGAAGAATGACAATGTTTGGGCTCTGGGGCTGGCATTCTAGGCCCCCAGAGAGGCAGCCTGGACCAGCACGGCCCTTCATGAGTAAGCTCTGAGGGTGTCCAAGGTCCAGGGCTCCGGGGGGGGGGGGCAGAGACACAGCAACACAGGTTGGCCGGGCGTGGTAATCAGCAAATGAAGGTGCAATTAAGCAGAAGCGCCATGCCACTTGAGGAGGGTGTAAGAGCCTTTCTCTTCTCTCTAAGCTATGTGTCTGCTGGGCCTACCCCAGAGAGCCTTAGACTTGTAAAACCATGGAGAAAATCCTACAAAATCCTGACTGATCTCTCTGCCTCCAGCTTTGGCCCTGCCAATCCATCTTCCACAAGGCTGCAAGGGTGATCCTCCTAACATGCAAATCTGCTCATGGTGCTCCCCTGCTTAAAACCCCTTTCAATGGGGCCCTGGGGTTGTGGGGATAAACTCCAAGCTCCTTAGCTTGATGTACAGGGCCCCTTTCATGATCTGGCCTGGCCAGCCGGAGCCCTTCTCAGGTCCCTTCTGCAACACCTCCACCACCACATTCCAGCACGGGTACCTGCAAACGCAGCACCTGTGCCTTTGCACCTGCTGCCTTTATGTCTCTTCCTCCCTTCACCTGCCCGGTTTCTACACAGCCCCTACCATTCAGCCCAGGGGTCAGTTCCTTCACCATGCTCCCTGGGGAAGAACCCTTCAGTACCACCCACTCACGGGCATAGAGTCCTTGGGCATCCCATAGCTTGTGCTGACCCCATCCTAGCACTCTCCATGGTATGATGATTAGCACTGTCCATCTCCTCGAGCATCCTCAGAGGACTTGGATCAGCTCCAGGGGAGAAGCCAGCCCCTGTTCATGTTTGTCACTCTGGCCCCCAACCTGAGGCATGATATGGTGCGGCTGCTTAGTGATCTTTGTGAATGTGTTGTTTCAATTAAGGACAGCACAGAAAAATAAACTGGTCCTGCTAATGGAAACTTGTACCTGCAGGGACAGATCTCAAATGCCACTCATCCAGAGCTGTGGTGAAGCCTACGATATGGGGCAGTCAAAGGATGCAGCTCCACAGCTGGCATCTTTCAGGGACAGGGCATTATGTGGGCTTTATGTGGTATTTGATCCACCCAGTAATTCCACGAAGAAGGCTTTCCAGCTGTGTTTGCAAAAGGGTTTTAGTTAAATGATGTTGGGATCCTATCGTGGAAAGATCCAAGAAAACTAAAATGAAGGGTGAGAGGTGGCATTCTCACTAGGAAAGAAAGCTTCTGTTGACACAGAGCAGAAAGGTATGGCTCCGCAGTTCAGAATTTTAAAGGCAAGACATGGTGTAATGTCCATATACAGTCTGTGACTCAGATTTGGATACTCGATACAAGTAGCAACAAGGTGCAGGTGGGTGGGGAGTTGGGGCCCACCCATCGGGAGTCAGCCTTGCTCAAGTCCTTCCGGGTGCTTCCCATTCCCAAAGGCTCTCCCTTGGTCTGGCAAGGGGGCTGCTAAGCACCATGAGGCAAATACCACCCATCAGACAGAGTTCCCTAGGCCAGGTCTCTTGTAAGGCAGACTGTCATCTCCATCTTTTAAAATGGCAAAGCTGTCCCCATGCCAGGACACCAGCCAAGGTGGGCGGGGTGAACTGTACACCCAAAGCATCAGGAGCTCATCCCCTTGCCCTGGACTTCCTCAGCACTGTCCTACCAAATCCCTATTTGAAAACTCTCTGCCAAAGTCACCACTCCACGAGGCTGAGATTACAGGCCGTCGAGGGCTTAGATCACAGCTGGTTTATCTCCACATCCTCAGACCTCCATACACAGCTAGGAGGGCAGTGATCAGAAATGTTTGTGGAGTGGCTTCACAAAGTGGTTGTGGGGAGGCCTGAACACATGCGCAAGGGTTCACAGCCAACCTATGAGACGAGACAAACAGCAGAACCAGCCGAAAATTGGACAAGGATCTGGCCAGTGGCTGTCTAGAAGTGCGTGGGAAGTGCCCGCTGCATCTCAGGTCCAGCAAGCCTTCTAGTAGAGCAATCTTGTGCAGACAAACTGCTGTCCATCACAGAGCTCCAGCTCCTCATCTGCTAAACAGGCATAAGCAGGCATTATTGTGGGATGAGCCCAGGGAGTGGATGTGACACTTCTATTACCTACCATGGCGTGTACTGGTTATAAATGCAAAATAGGTGAATAAATACCAACTGGAGGACAGCACTACAGCAGCACTATCACTGGCGAAATCAGACTCGGTGGACCCTGCCCTCCCTCTGAGGCCCCTGCGCCCTGGCATGGAACCACTCTTGTGTAAAGCTGATACCTACGCTAAGATTGCTGTTAGCAACTGCTGTTTTTCTCAGTGCCATCATATAATAAGCTCTGCAGCATTAGTAAACAGGTTAGATAGGCTGCGCCCTTCCCTGGCACCATCTCCTTTACTCCACAGGGCAGAAGCCCTGCTTCCTTATGCTGCAAAGCCGAGTTCTGTCCTGCACTTAGCAAGGTGACACTCAGTGCCCAAGATTAGACCATGAGAGCCAGCAGCGAGACCTGAGCCACCTGTGCCCAGAGCCTCCCTTGTGCCCACTGAACTTCCTATTTCTCTCCCTACCCCAACTCCAGCTTTGCATGAGATGAGAGTTATTCTTGAAAGGAGTTTTGTGTGCTCCTCTCAGCAGTTTTTTGAACTTGTGCCAGGCCGAAGCTCCTGGAGACGCTGCCGTGCGTGGTGTCTGCTGAGCCAAACCTCTCAGATGCTGCCATGTAGGTAAGTGTCCCCACCTCCTGGGGCTGGCACAAAGCATCCTCAGAGTCCCTTCCTTTCTGGAAGTCACCACGTTCTTTCCCAAGGTGAAGCCTTCCCCAAGGGTCTTACAGCCACACAAGGCGTATTGGGGAGAGGCTGGTGAACCCACTGCACCCTTGCCTGGGGCTTGGCCCTGCTGAAAGGCAGCATGTGAGCTGCATAAAAGTGCCCCCCCCGCATGCTCACTGCCTTCCAGAGGTCTTAGAGTTGCTATAGAGCAAAGCAAGGCCTGAGGACAGGGACCCTGAGTTCCCTCTCGGGAGGGAGAGGAGAATAGAATAACCGAAAAGAGAGTCTTCTGTGAGTGCCAGGGAAGGAGCCAGAGCCTACAGCAGGTGGAACTCAGCAGCCCTGAGCCCTAGCAAGGAGGAAGAGGGGGTGGACGGCACTTGCTTCTCAGCCAAGCTGGGGACAGAGACTGAAGGGGGGCAGCAGAGAGATGCGGCAGTCACTGGAACTGGGCCAGGTGACCAACAGGCTCTGGGGTTCAGTCATGTGATGCCACCTCCCTTTGACTGCCTTGCCAGAGAGCAGGAGCAGGGGAGAGGAGAAGGAACTGGGCCAATTCAGCCACTGCAGCAAAGGCCAGGAACATCTCCTGACTCAAAGCTGTACACTCAGAACAGGGTGAGAATGGTGCCCTGCAAGTTGCTTCCAAGAGAAGCCAATGAACATCCATGCCCCAGCAGCTCGGAGGACTGTGGTGAAGCCACACAGGGTAGCTTCTGGCTGGGCAACCCCTCCCTAGTCTTTCCCTTCTCTGACTTTTGCCTCTGTCCCTTCTCAGGCTCAGGCACTGTGTGCTAGCCACAATGTCCCTGGCCAGCTTGAGATGCTTAAGTTCCCCCTTTCCCCACTCCCCAGTTCATTCTTGCCTTTCTGTCAGTGAGGGATGGCTGGATCCCATTGCATCACTTGGAAATGCTTCAGTCCACCAAGACTTCACTTCAAGGATACCTCTATGATATTTCTCTGATGTCTGGAGCAGGGCTGTTCAGAGGGGGCAGTGAAACTAAATGCTGCTGCCACAGGGATGACCTGTGCCTGGGTTTTGTTTTCTACCTTGAATCAG